CAAAATGGGACATGTGCAGACCACTGTCAGAAAACTAATAACGTGGGCTCAGGTTCGCTCAGGAAACCGATCTGGCATTTTCCACTACAAGCCGGACGAGTATGTCTTACCCACTCTCGTAGTCTGTTAATTCGAATATTCGCCATTCTAATGAAGGTTAATTGACAGCTGTCAAACTAGAGTATCCACTGACCATCATCACCTGACTGTATCGGGGGCTCATTTTTCTATCTATTGAGGTCACGTAGCTTTTAAAGTTTGCTACTGATATTTTATTTGATCACGGGCTCAGTTCGAAGCCCCATAGCTTAGAAAATCTATCCATCCTAAAAATTCGGCAATGACGTGATCGTACACCGACCACCCAACCTTCCATCCGTCCGCACCACAGGCATACCAATGTTTAATCTCACACGTTTTAGCTAGTTTGGGAGCCTGCAGCCTGCAGCCTGATATTGTACATCCATGTTTTTATTGATTGACAGCTGTCAAAATAGTGTTTCTGCTGACCAGTATCGCCTGACTGTATCGCGTGCTCAGGTATCGTCCCACTGAGTTTGAGTGTTTTTGAAGTTATCCGCTGACAAGTTGCTACTTTTCAAATAATCAAATTAACTACAAAAACCGAGGACGAAGATCCTGCTAGTTGTAAACGCTGGATCTCAGGCTCAAGTTCAATTTTTTTTAAAATGCATATGAAATAAGTGGTGTTCATGAGCCGCACTTTGAAAATTTTGATTTCGAACTGAACTCGGACGTGAAAATTCAACCGGCTTTTACATGCAGGGAGGGCAATCGCTTTTGATTTTTCTAACTGTCACGCGTTGATCACTCTCTACGTCCAATGTTTATGTTCTGATTAGTCGAAATTTGACAGGTGAGTTCATGCGGGAAACTTATGCAGCGTCTGGAAACTTGCTTACTGACAGCTGAAGCTGGCAGAGTTTTGTGTCATCTTGTGATGTTTTAAACTGTCTTTTTCTTCTTGATGTACAAAATGAAATACAGCTGCTATCAAGATTGTTCTGTAATTCATGGCTGGTTTGTTTATTGCGCTTTTTGTTGACAAATGTACCGCTTGTCAAAGTCATTGGAAATCCGATTTCGGATGGCATCGTTTTCAAAAATGAGCTTACTCACTTGCCCTTGCTTGAGGCGTAAGAGGGTTGAAAAGTCTCCAGCGATTCTGGAACACTTGGTGACCTTCAGAAGCAGCATCTCGAAATATTTTCTCTAAAATCACTTAGCCTTTGCCTCAAAAGTCACATGAATGTGCCCTGATCTTTGGATTACAAGTTCATTGTTTGATTTAAATTATGAATTTATTAATGGGAGCTTCGCTTTTAGCCCTGGCTAAGTCTATACTGACTAAAAGTAAATTATAATCGTTATAAAAAAATCTCCCAGAATCCTTTGAGGCAATTTTTTAAAAAGCTTTGTAACTTTGANTTGTCAAAGTCATTGGAAATCCGATTTCGGATGGCATCGTTTTCAAAAATGAGCTTACTCACTTGCCCTTGCTTGAGGCGTAAGAGGGTTGAAAAGTCTCCAGCGATTCTGGAACACTTGGTGACCTTCAGAAGCAGCATCTCGAAATATTTTCTCTAAAATCACTTAGCCTTTGCCTCAAAAGTCACATGAATGTGCCCTGATCTTTGGATTACAAGTTCATTGTTTGATTTAAATTATGAATTTATTAATGGGAGCTTCGCTTTTAGCCCTGGCTAAGTCTATACTGACTAAAAGTAAATTATAATCGTTATAAAAAAATCTCCCAGAATCCTTTGAGGCAATTTTTTAAAAAGCTTTGTAACTTTGACATTTTTGTACGTAGAAGACTATCAGACCACAACAAAATAACATTTGCCATACATTATCTTCCCGTGTCACATCTAAGGTGATGACGTCATCAGTCGCTTTAATCACACGGAAAAGAAAATTTGCAGGAAAGTAATGTTCTACCTGATACTTTTTTCATGACCAAAAGAGGGGCATAACGTCATCGGTCACGTAATCAAAGCGTTTTGAATGTTTTCGTTTTTAAAGTACCTTTTCTGTCATAAATGTCCGGATACTGGGCAACATACTGTACACTGCCGTTTTGAAATCAGGAGAACACTTCGAGCAGCCAAAGATAGATTCATTGAGAAATTTATGAGATTTAAGACCCGAAAATGAAGGAGGCAATTTGTTTTCTTTCGAAGTTGCCATCGATGGGTAGGTGGAGCCACAGATGTTGTGATGTCAGAAACTGCCAGTATTAATATAATAATATTTGCTTTTTCTCAGCGCTGGGGATTTCATTATTTCATTTGGCCTACTGCAAGAGTCGATATCGTAGCTCTTCTTCGTCGGCTTCATCGTAGTCGTTAAGGAAATTTATACCTTTGTGGCCTGTGACATTGGCGATACGTTCTGAACTTACAATCTTTGCTTTCTTCAGCTTCCTGGCTGTTGTTTTTCGTGCACAATGATTCGTAAATTTTTTTCTCACTTTCTTTAAGGCTAGTACCAGCTGCGGATACTTTCATTATGTTAGTTATGGTATTTTCGCCTATTGGTTTAGTTTGGACCAGATGTTTAAATTTTCGGTTTTGTTTGCTACTGAGGTAAAAAAGAACAGACCATTGCAAGGATGTTTTAATAGAGGCCTTCGCTCCACAAAAGACTCAAAGAGAGCAACCGGACACCTTTCTCCTCCAACAAATAACGTACGTGACTTGAAATCCCTTTTGTTATCATGGAAAAACTCGTATCCTTGTTCATTTCAATGCCTGGAAAGTGTAGCTGTCATGGTTTGCGTATGTGGTTGCAACCGTTTTTGTTCTTTATTTTTTTACCTTAGCGTAGTCTGTTACAAGTAGCTTGTTTTTGAGTTTCTCTGGCTCATTTTCCTCGATTATGTTGCCAGTATTTTTCTCTTAGCAACGCATCTTCAATACATTTAGCCAGAAATACGTACTTTTTACTTTGCTCGGGTTTTTGGAATATTTTTGTCAACTTTTCTATTGTTGTTTTGCGTACAAAATTAAGTGGCTGTCCACCTAAGAGCGGTCGGGTGGGTTTGGGATCGTGAGTAAACCTTCCCTTTATTTTTTGTGAGTGAAAAGGACTTAATGTTAAATGATTAAAATCGAATTAATTTCTTTCAAAATCTTTTTCGGTGCTTTGCTACAGAACAAAACTTATTTCCCACCTCAAAGCGCTTTTTCAGGCTTATTCGATGGCGAAATTCGGTATTTTTGAAAGCTGCGCTTCTTCGTAACGGATAAATGTCGCTGAATTCTACACAGTCCACTGGATTTAACTGCATTTGACTTGTCCTATGACAGAACATGGACTAATTTGACGCAAAATGAAATGAAATTAGTAAGATCAAAGATAAGCCACTTCGCGGTTTTTTTTCTCCCTTGACAAGTACTTCGAAAGTGAAAGCTAAAATCTCCAAAGCGGTACAAAAATCACAGGTAAAATGTACTTCACAGCAAAGTTCTTATCTTATTCTGTCAGAAAATAAAGTCAAAGATGCGGGTATCGTTCTGGGTTGAACGTGGACAAGCGTTTTTAAGAGCCCCTTTTCGGCATTATTTACATAGAATTGTCCGTTTGACGGTTTACATACAACGACTTTCATTACACAGATATTTTCTCAGCAGCTAAGAATGTTGTTGTGTATCCTCAAAATAACGAGCACTTGTTTTCTTTGCACTAGCCTTTTAAGTTTGTACAACTTAAAGCCGAAAAATGCCATGAACACACTGTAAACAGTCATTCTTGATCAAGCAGTCGGATATGCAAATTGTGCTTGTTTACAGCCGCGGGTTGTAAATTTCAGGTTATGTCAAAATCTCAAACTTCGTACGGTAATTAACTTCTCCTCAAATGTAGTTAACTTTCAGCTTGGAAAATCAGCAACAAGATACCCTTTTAAAAATAGAGATTTAACTCATTCCATTTCAGTTTCTTTTTCCGTTTCGAGTATTTAAAATTTTCTCATGAACATGTCACTGACACTCGGATTCGCTCACCTCGGGTGACTTTTTTCGTGGAGCTCTTGAGGAATTTTACGAATCACTTTAAGTCCGAGTCCGGTTGATATTGAACGTTTGTGCCATATAGCATCAGTCAAATTAGCATTGTTGTCACGCAATATACCTCTTGTATCGATCCCTTTCAATCCCTTTCTTTTCATAAGCAGATAAGGGGTGGATAAGGCCATCAGCTTATTAATGGGGTGTGAAAGTTGGGGGGGGGAGGGAGGGGGGTAGGGGGTTGGGGGAGGCAAAGGACACCGAGATGAAAAAAGAATCCTGCAGGGCTGAAAGGATAATACATAATACACATAATACATAGATGCAGCTGTATCAAACAGCTGGAATTTATGCAGCCCCCAACCCCATTAATAATCGAACGGTCCACGCCTAAGAACACCTAAAGAACCACGCCGCCTGTAATTCAACTGATTTATTCCTAGCTCATGTTATATGCATTTGTTGACTTTTTACATTATTATTAGTTCTTATTGCCAAAAGTAAAATTTTACAATAATGATCGTAACTCTTATCTATAAGAAAAAAATTCTATTATAGAAAAAAAGACTGTCCCGCGGACAACTTTTATCCTTCTGCTCTTTTACCAGTATTGTAAATAAAGTAGTAAACGGAAAAACAGGTCACGTACTTTCAAGGGTTGTTGTCAAGTTATAAGTTATTTGAGATTTATCGTCTTATGGTACCATACAAATATACCTATTGAAATTTAAACTCCTGAGAAAACACTTCCAAGAGCGCGACCTTGAAACGACAGGACCAGATTTCTGGGCAACGCGGCCCACCCCAATGCAATGGTGGCAATTTCTCAGCCTACTTGCCAGTCCCTGGTCATTCACGGGGTGGTGCAGCAGCAACTGCATTCTTTTACCATGTCTCTTATTTTGTTTATTAGAGCAGCCTTTATCTCTTTAGATTTGAACGGCAGTTCAAAATGTTCACACATAGCTCTCAGTGTTTTGACGTTGAATTTTGAGAGTCCTTCTTGTTTGGTCTGCTCACATTATCATAGCCATCGTACATGATAGGATGCATTACGCCCATCTCCTTGAAAATATCTTCAACCTCCTTGTCTCTATGTTCATCAATAAGACACGCCATTTCTTCATGCAAGAGCAGATCTCCTTCGTCATCACTTTCGACATTCTCGGCTCTGGTCACCCCTCTTTTCCTGCTGATTGGAGACAGTCTGGAAAAGAACGATTGAACTTGTCCCTTCGTGAGCCATTCGTCTCTGGAAAACTTTCTTGAACCATCTGCGTTTCTGGTCGTTCTCATGTCCGTTGCGACCTGAGAAGGATCTGATTTCCTGCCTGTTTGCGTGCCAACATCAAATCGTGCTGTGAGGTAAGACTTGACTTTCTCGCTAAACCTTGTCCCACCTCCCCTTGGCTTCTGCAGGGTCCATCCGCTGGCTTCGAATTTGCAAACACCACTAGGAGATTTTGGAGGTTGCTCGGATGGCGGCAATTTCTGTCTGGAATCAATGGACATCGTTGAGAACTTGAGTGCCCAGTCTCGGCGTAATCGATCGTACACGCTTTCGTGATTCTCTCGAAGACTCGAAACGTGTCCTCCAAAGTGAATATGATCTTGCAGCTCATCAAACGTTGTAAAAACGGAGGAACAGCCAGGCTCTTTGCATTCAAACAACGCTGCCTCTTTCTCTGAGTCCTGTATCCCACCCACTGATAGTTTCATTCGCCTGGGCGTAACAGCAAAGAAGCCTTGCTCGCTAACTTCGTTTACGTATATGAGACCTTGACCCTGAACGTTGAGCTGCGACCATGGTATCAATTTTCCTGGGCCAATTTCATAGGCTTTTGAGATGCGAACACCATCGGCTCCATAAGAAAAATTATGAAATGCACTGAAGTTGCTAATGCGGTCAACTTTAATACTTTGGCTGCGATCTATTTCGCACACCACTGCGGTGGTTCCCTTTACCTGTCTGGCTTGCAGTGCCTGATACATGTCTGAGGCGGTCAAAATATCGTGGCCCTCGTCGCAGTATCTTCGAAGTGCGCCTTTTAATGGGCTAATGATTCTATCACAAACATCCTTGCCAAATTGTGGCTCGGAGAAGTCATACCTACGAAAAGAAAATGTGATAGATATATCACATTCTTTTGGGTGCAAAATATCAATCATTATCATCTGAGTAAGGCGAAACATCGGCTTTGAGCTGATTTAAAGCCTCCATGATAGTCGGTTATTGTTCAGTACGGTTAAATGAGCTTGCAGGTAGTGTTAAAGGGGAGCCTTTTTGCAGAAATTACATTGACATTGTCTCCCTACCATTTGCTTATAACTTTATATAACTTTATATATATTACTTTAGGATCTTAATCGGATCTGTAGTTTATTAAGATTAAAATAATTTGCAATAATCAGGAAAGGATTCCAGGAAACGCCATTGAAAAGAGCTCACGAAGGGGGGAGGGGGGGGGGTGGGTGGAACGGGGCGAAATCACCCAGTAGTTCCTGTGTATATCCCAGGATTTATTGGGGAACTTTCAGTACACAACTAACTCAATGACGGGGATTCAAATCAAATTGTGGTCATCTTCGGCTAACAAATGTAACCAATGTTTTTGAGAATTCTTACTTTCTTAAGCAATGATCATTTTTCTAAAGGAAGTATTGTCGATTTAGAAGTCACTGTGAAAAATCAGGTACAGAAATGCCAAAAAATCGAAATACCTCAGCACTCGTATTCCAACCTGCTTGCCAATGTCGCTTACAGCTGCTATTAAGTTATTATTATGGTAGCACCCAGCACCATCTGAACGAAGGTAGGCCGTATTGACGTACGGCCGTACAGCTTTGACAGTCGTTAGTAGGTGCGTCAGGATTGCACACACTGCGTACCAGTCCTGGGCACAACTATTCAAGAGATGGACGTACGAAACTATCTCTAGATCGTGACCCTCTTCAGGCTTCGAGATAATGCAGCTAACGTGCCAGCTAATTCCTCGTTTTCCGTACCATTCAGCTTGTTTCTCTCGGTACCTCATCTGGTTGAATTTCATCGCCCAATCCATTAGTACTAGTATGGAGTCACTTTGCAGAGACTTGAGCACATTTTGTTTAGCTTGGTCTTGATTCTCTGCCCGAAGAATATGCGCCTTCCATTGGAGCACCATATCCTGTGCCTGTTTGGCATCGTACAGCAGGTCTTCCTTTTGTTCATTTCCATACAAGCTGATTTCTGGTGACTCAATCTCTGACAAGATGGACATCATTGCGTTCTTCAGAGTTTCACATTGGTGACATTGTGTACAGTGTTCGTGGTTGCAAGAAGCCTGAAAATCAGAGCTTTGGGGATCACTGAGAGCATAACGCCTACAATGGTCTGGACACGGGCTCTCGTTTTCTCGACAGTGCGCGCGGTATTCTGTTTTAAGGTAGCGCTTCCCTTCTTTCAGTTCCTTTCGTGTTGCTTCACACCATTCCGGTCGTGATCCGCTTTGCTCCAGGTCGTCAACAATTTTGTTGAAAGCATCGAAGCCGTCTGCCCCACTTGCTGCGATGTTGTCCAGCCCTTGTAACGATTTCCGTTGAGATGCTTCCCTTACTTTCAAAATCTGAAACAACGTCGATCGCCCAAGTGGTTCGAATCCTTCCTCGTGGCAGTGTCTGAAATATTGTGCTATCATTGTTGACCTAGCGACGGTTCTCACAACGTTGGGCATGATTAACTGCTCCCCGGAATCTAGTTTCAAAGTCCGAGTCCCGTAAGAAACATCCTGGTAAAAATATGGTTGGTCAGCAAATGAAAGAAAATGATTCAGCCTCATCAAATCGATACGGGTTCTATGGAAGGGACCTTTCTCTAAGACCAATCCAGCACCGATAGTCTTCGCGTGGGCCCTAGCTTTTTTGATCTGTCGATCACTGAGTTTTTCAAAATGAGCATGCATGTTTTTTAACTCACTACACGAATATTGCAAAGCGTATATACTAAGAATCTGTGTCTTTAGATTCTTTGTTGGCGCTTGTCTGTATGCAGCTGTCAGAGCGCTTTTGTCGGCGAGTTTTTGTATGCCTCTAATAGTTCTTCACTGGCGTTAGGGGCAATAACCTTGCATACAGCTTGACAAGCTTCATCAACCCTTTCTTCGCACAACGCTTTTTCATTTGCGGTCGCACTTTCCCAGTCCGTTGCAAGCCTGAAAGTAAGTTGTTCGACTGTTTTCATATCAGTCAACGATGCAATCTGTGACATGGCGTCATTGTACACCTTGAGTGGGTCAGTCGCCGATTCGTCAGCTGAAGTATCGGATTCATCTCCGGGCCACTGGCTGGGTGTCCATGAGGTATCTGTCGAGCTGACGCCTGCTGCTGGAGTGCCTGGCGTCCAAGATCTCATTGCCGAGTAAGCATCTTGTTTGGACTTCCTGGAATAGTTCACAAAAGAACAATGAAACTGACGAAAACTTTCCCCATGAAAACTTTAATTCATTTGTCCCCGAAAAGAACTTCTATGCTATCTCGTTTTTATGGTTTGAGTCTTAAGTAATGTTCAGGAAGTTAAGTGTACTTTGATGTAATTGCCGCTGAGGCCCTGGTACAATATACTCGTTGTCTTGTGTACAGTAATATTCGCCTTGGCAATTCCGACTTTCACGAGTTCATCTGGGAAAAACTAAAAATTGTCGGTTTTGAAAACATTTCATTTCTTGACGGAATCATCACAACCGCTCAATTGAGAAAAAAATCGCAATGTCAAACATCAAGTTTGGGGTGTACCTCGAGAATTCTTTAGGTGTTTCAACCTCCCTCACATTCAACCATTTCCATTCGTTCTTCACTCTGTCCTTGTGTCTCTTTCGGCAGCTATTGTACAAGGCTGAAACAGAAGCGTGTTGGATAAGATCATGACGTTTTTTGGGGATCTATTTAACATACAGGCGGACCTGCGAAGGAGGGGAAGATGCGTAGGTAAAAACCTTATCTCTGAAGCCCTAGCCTGTCCCAGGCACTCAGATAGTATAGGGCGGGGGAAAATTGATGAGGAAAAAAAAAAGGGAGAATGAAACCCAGGGGTGTCAGTAAAACACAGACTCGGGCCGGAAAAGGGGCAGTTAGACTTATTTTTATACATATATTTTAACATTTTCCTGTTTATTTACTTAGTAATGGTTTTCGTTGATTGATTGAACAACTAAAAACGCACAGTGCGGCAAAGGGTGAAAAAGGAAGAAAATGAATAGATTAAAAAGAGGATAGGATTTCGAGATGAATCCCGAATTCGGCGATCAGGAGTCAGGATTTACTCTCAGCTGGGGCTCCCCGTTACTGCATTTTGCCGCCAATTTTTTTCCCGAATATGTAAAATTTCCCAAAATGTTAGAAGTCTTGTGGCATTAATATGAAAACAAATTTTAATTTGTTTTTTATTTGTTAGATAATTTTAAATTGTTGGCTGGATCGTCACAAAAAAATTAAAATGGACTCAGTGATTTTCTTGATTTCTTTATTTGGTAGTCTCTGTTCCGTGCTCATTCAGGGCAACTTACAACTTCTTCGTTTTTTTCCTTTTTACAGTTGAAAATGTTTTCCCACAATTTTATCATAAAGACCTCCAATCCATTTATTTGTTTGTTTCCAGCTTGCTTCCAACTAACACAAGTAAAAGTACACTGAAAAACGAAAGCGAGTGAATTGAAGAAGTTGGTTAATTAAATTAGGACAAGTTTTGATTTTATCATTTCACTATGAAAAAGGGGGAAAAAATATAATGCATTCGTCCCAGCTAAATGTCAACAATATACAGTGTAGAAAAAACCGTATTCTCCTAGTGCTTGTGTCAGAGAAGACACAAAAAGGGCGGAATAAACAAAATATGCACAGTTACAAAAGGTGCAGCCAATACTCACGTGATCCAACAGGAACAGCAACGCCAAAACCTTCCATCACTTCTCGCGCGATCTTTACAGTCACCACTCTGTCACTTTTTGTCTGCTTTCCCTTGTGGTCTGGATATCGGCATGCTGTGCAGCCAGTCGGATTACCCCAATCCTTCCCTAGGTTCGCACGGTGTCTCGGGCATAGAAACATTTTTTCAACTTGTTGGGCGTTTTTATCAAAATACCCAGCCCGCTGCAAAATAAGTTCGCTCTCCGTAATATTTTCTTTCGTTAAGTGACATCGCCTCAAATGAGCCGTAATATCGTTGTTACATTGACTAAGAGCCACCAACTTACTCTCTCCTTTAAATTCTCCACAGCCGCTTTCATCTTTTAAAGACATAAAACAAGAAGCCATGTCTCCAAGCTTTTCCCACACTGTACTCTAAGGCACATTGCGTGACAACAATACTAATTAGCATATGACTTCTTGTTTCATGTCAGAAGAAAACTCAAACAAATTGAGCTGAATTCAGCTTTTTTTATAGAGCCTTTCAATTGCTGAGTCTCCAAACTCAAAAAGGGCTTCGTTTGAGCAGAAGTGAATTTTATTTTTTAAGATTTTCTTAATTGCTGAAATCGACAACCCGCTGTAAATGTGCTTAATTTGCATATTATGCCAGGTAGATGAAGAATTCCTATTTATATTTTATGACATTTTAAGCCGGTTTTTTTTATACAGGCTTAAAAAAGCTTATAAACAATAAATGTGTGTTATTTTGACGAAGCATACAAAGATTCTGTCCTGTGGGAAAAAATATTAGCCTTATCATATGTAGTTTGGGTGTAGGCGACAGACGTGTAATTGTTGGTAAATATTGACAAAAGGAGATCTCAAAAACGCTTGTTCGCGTCCAACGCAGAATGATACCCGCACCTTTCACTTTATTTTCTGACAGAATAAGGTAAGATCTTTCCTGTGAAGTGCATTTTGCCCGTGATTTTTGTACCGCTTTGGAGATTTTAGCTTTTACTTTAGAGGAATTTGTCAAAGGTGAAAAAAATCCGCAAAGTGGCTTGTCTTTGATCTTATCAATATAATTTAATTTTGCGTCAAATTATTCCATACTCCGTCATAGGACAAGTCAAATGCACCTAAATCTAGTGTACTATGTAGAATTTAGCGATATTCATCCGTTACGAAGAAGCGCGGCTTTTAAAATTACCGAATTTCGGCCATCGAAAGAGCCTGAAAAAGTGCTGTCAGACAGGAAATAAGTTTTGTGCTGTAGCGAAGCACAGAAAAAGATTTTGAAAAAAATTAGTTCGATTTTAATCATTTCTCATTAAGTCCTTTTCACTCACAAAAAATAAAGGGAAGGTTTACTCACGATCCCAAACTCGCCAGACCGCTCTTAAGTGGACAGCCACTTAAATCCCGTTGTCGTCTGCTGAAAACCATGGCCATTTTCTTGAATTTTGTTGGTAAAACAGCTCTAATCTGATTGGTTCTTGGTTGTTTCTTTTGTGTTTTCAGCCAATCAAAAACCATTTGTAATCTGCATTCGTGTTCCAAGTTTTGCACTCGCCGTTAGAAGTTTGCACTCCTTTCTCAGCCAATCAGAATGGGTAATTTTTTCGTGTATATTATTAAGAGCCCATGACTGTATATATCGGGAATCGCTGGTCAGGCTAAAAAAATCGAAAATTTTGATAATTTGTCCGAAAAACTCCTTTGGGGAACTATGTTCCAAAAAAATATTTTCAACTTTCAAGAATCTATAGTTTTCGAGGAAATGAGGAAAAACGAAAATAGCGGTTTTTACTTAATTAATTATGCACACATCAGAGTAAAAATGACCTACTTTATCGCGTCTGTACCGAGGCAAGATTCAAAGCTATAAAACTGAAATATTTTTGTTTAAAAGAATTTTATCTTTTCTCTCTATCCATGGTATATTTTAAACCATAAACTTAATTTTGAATTTTTTATGGTTTTTTAAAAACTACAATCAATGGCACTTTTTAAAATGGCTGAAAAATGAGCAACTTCAGAGGCAAAAAAACTCACCTTGGTATGTGTGATACCTAGCCAAAATGTATACTAGGACAAAGTTCAGCTCTTATTTTAACAGAATATGAAATAAAAAATCTGGGTACTCCGGATTCGCCTTTACAAAATAAAAAGTTTCGTGACCACCAGTGGAAAAATGTCACAAATTTGCATAAGTCAAATTTGTAGAGAAATGTTGCGGCAGCAGGTTTTGTTTTAATTCAGGGTCAGTATGCAATGTTCGGAAACATCACAAAGGAAGAAAACGTTTTTTGATAAAGTTTTTGTTAAAATATCAGAGTAATTAACCATTCACAAATAATAATAATAATAATAATAATAATAATAATAAATGACGTCTCGAGCAGCTCCGCCTTCTATTACTAATTTTTTTCTCCTTATGAAATTTTATGGAAACTTTGTTTTGAACAGACAATGCGTTGTTCGCAACATCATTTGTTTCTCAGTAGTTTATTTTCTTTTCAGAAAAAAGGGATACTTACTTTGCATGCCTGTCAGTCACAATCAATCAATCAATCAATCAATAAACTTTATTTACCCTCGAATTTACAGTGTAGCACTCAAGTGCTAATATCTTCGAGCCAACTACATTAATAAATAATTATAATAAAAAGTTAATTCTATATAGCAAAAAAGATAACTAACTACCTAGACAACTAACTTGCAAATTATCATGATGTAGAAAGGTTTGCAGTTCCTGCCCTTTTAAGTAAATTATTGTTCCCAGTAGATATCAGTCGTCGAAAAGAAGTAAAATCAGAAATAGTGCGGTAATGGTCAGGGAGAGAATTCCAAGATGTTGCTGCCAAGTAACTAAAGGAATTGATACCATAAGAAGTGGTCGATGGTTTGGGCAAACAGAGCATATTATGTCCTCTTAAAAAATAGGTGCTAGAGCGTAAACGAAACATATCTTTTAAATATCTTGGATAATCAGAAAAATGAAGACATTTAAAAATAGTGAGAATCATGTTTTGTAAACGCTTGTCCTTAAGGTTTGCAGTTCCTGCCTTTTTAAGTAAATTATTGTACTCAGAGTTAAAATCCTTGAAAATAAATCGAAGAATACGTTTGTTTAAAAGGTCCAGTTTATCAGAATCTTGTTTACTAGAGAAATGCCACACCATAGAACAATAATAAAAGTGAGGAAGTATAAATGCCTTATAAAGACGGAGCATGGTTTCAGTAGACATCAGTTTGCCAAACCTTGACATAACGCTAAACTGATTGTTTACCTTTTTACATATAGAGGACACATGTTGCTTAAACGTAAGATCTTTATCAATTGTAACGCCGAAAAGTTCCACTGAGTCATTTACTGAGAAATTAAACTGATGGTCAGTTTTTCCTAGTATCATCCCTTGGTGTTTGCTGGGATTTGCTATCATTCCATTGATCTCGTACCAGGCATTTGCTGAGCTAACCTCACGCGAGATACGCCTTTCCAAAGATACCGGATCCGTATCGGCGGTGTAGAGTTGACCATCATCTGCATACATATTTAATTGTACAGTTTTGATTTGTAGGAATAAATCATTTATGAAAATATTAAAAAACATTGGACCAAGAACACTGCCTTGAGGTACCCCTCGCATGACTTCTTGCCAATCAGAACTTGTATCACCTACTTTCACCCGCTGCATCCTACCTTGTAAGTAATCTTTAAGAAGCATACAACTTCTACTGTTAACACCATAGGCCTTCAGCTTGGCCAGCAAGAGTCCATGCGGTATCGTGTCGAAAGCCTTAGATAAATCCATTGATATCACTGCAACAATTTGTTTTTTAGTCACGCACTAAAAGTTAGCGTTTTCCTGTGAGAGATTTTGAAATCTAAGTTTTTTTTACCACGTATTGCAAACAACAAACCGTCCCTTGGTTAATTGCTTTACTTTTTCACAAATAGAGGTATAATTAGGCAGCTACCAAAGGCCCTAGGAAACAGCTAAGTGATCGTAGTTCTTACGGTCCAGCGGTTTCTCTCCTCCGAAACGAATCCGAAACATCTTTCCCGCAAAAACTGTCACTATTAGGTCATCGCGGAGTTGTACCACCTGCCACGGGGCGTTTTCCCTCAAATACAAAATGATATTTGTTGATTTCAAAATATAATATGGCAGCTTAGTGTGTAAATCTGTACGCGAAACCCATGAACCAAAACAAGTTCCAACCGACGCCGCCGAAGAACTGGAAAAGGAGACTACAGTAGAACCTCCTGAAAGCGATCACCCAAAATGCGCAGACTTAGTGGTCGCTAACGGGAGGTGGTCTCTTACGAGTATCGAACCACAGGAGGTTTCTTTGAGAAGAAAACTGGACACATCTACTTTAAGGAAGATAATTTATTGCATGCAATTCCCACGTAACGATATGTGCAGTTCCATGTTGCTGTTGTTCCTACCACAAGAGATCAGACTAACCCGTCAGGTGGTCGCTTACAAGAGGTTAAAAACAATACAGAATCATTAAACAGTCAGCCCCAATTAGTGGTCGCGGGAGCTTACAGCAGAGATTCCAGCTGTAAGACTTCACTGGGTGGTTTTTGGTGTTTTGGATAGGTGGTCGCACATGGAGATTCAACTGTACTCCAACAGAGTAAATCACCTTTCAGACTCCTTGTTCACCGCTTTTGAGCTACTCTAACCAACTCCCAGCCATGTCAAGTGCTTGCAAAACGTAGCATCATCTTGAAAAGAGAAGCATCAGAAAGGTCATCCTTGACGCCCCTGGCCTATCGCAGTATGCGGCAACGAACTTCTATCGAAGTAAGTACCATTTACTAACCGCACAACAACCTACAGCAAGCCAAAGCACAACCAGGAAACACCCAAGAACTAATTCAGGAGCCTCAGGTAAATACAGTTTCATGTAAACCTGTAACAACAAAGGTTGCTGGTAGAATTCAGCATTTTTCTCAGGCTTGGAAGCAGATGACTTCAGATAAAGTCATTTTAGATATCGTCAAGGGTTGCCATATAACATTCACACATAATCAATTTCCATTGCAGTTAAGGCTCCCTCAGTCAATTAAGTTTACTGATTGGGAATCTGTAGCCTTATGGATCAGGAAATTTATACATTGCTTCAAAAGGGTGTAATTGAGGAAGCTTATCATTCACATGGTGAATTTTTGTCTAAGGTGTTTCTCAGACCTAAGAAAGATGGAAGCTTTAGAATGATTCTAAACCTCAAGAATTTAAACTCACATGTTGAATACAATAAATTTCAGATGGATACTCTGCAATCCATATTGGAGTTAGTAACTCCTGGTTGTTATATGGCAACAATTGATTTAAAGGATGCATATTACGCAGTGCCGGTAGCACAGG